GAGCTATAGTGATAAAAACAGCATGGTATTGGGGGGTGGGGACAGACACACACACTGAAAACTGAAGACCTAACTGGGCGTTGGTGGTGCACATCTTTAATCCCAGCACTCAGGAGGCAGAGGCAGGTGGATCTCTGTGAGTTCGAGGCCAGCCTCGAACTCTGTAAGCTACAGAGTGAGTTCCAGGAGGCTGTTACACAGAGAAACCCTGTTTCAGAAAAGAAAAGAATCAACGACCCAGACATATACCCATACACCTATGGACACCTGATTTTTAATAAAGAAGCCAGAAATATATACTGGAAAAAAAAAAAAAAAAAAAAGACAGGCTATTCAACACATGGGGCTGGCCAAACTGGATGCCTGCACAAAACTCAGTTCCAATGGATCAAAGACACAACACAAAACCAGACACACTGAATCTAATGCAAGAGAAAGTGTGGGTAGCCTTGAACTCAGGCACATGAAAATACTTCCTGAACAGAAAGAACAGCAATAGCGCAGGCTGAGATCAATTAATAAACAGAACTTCATGAAGCTGAGAAGCTTCTGCAGGGCACAGGGCACCATCATTTGGACAAAGTGGCACCTCCAAAGATTTTTACCAACTACACATCTGATAGAGGGCTAATGTCTACAATATAGATTTAAGCAGAGAGTTCTCAACAGAGGAATCTCAAACGGCTGGGACACACTTAAAGAAATGTAGGACATCCTTAGTCATCAGGGAAACGCAAATCAAAACTACCCTAAGATTCCATCTTACACCCATCAGAATGGCCAAGATCAGTAACACAATGACAGCTCATGCCGGCGTGGGTGTGGGGTAAGAGCGCTCACTCACTCATTGGTGATGGGACTGTAACTTGTCCAGCCACTATGGAAATCAGTGTGGTGGTCTCCCAGGAAGATGGGAATCCACAGACCTCAAGACCCAGCTGCACCACTCTCGGGCCTGTACCCAAAGGATGCTCCATCCTACCAGAGACACCTGCTCAACCACGTTCATTTCTGCCCTATTCATAACAGCCAGAATTTGGATAAAGAAAATGTGATTTCTGTTTTGTTTTTCAAGACAGGGTTTCTCTGTATAGCTTTGTAGATGAGGCTGGCCTCGAACTCACAATCCACTTGCCTCTGCCTCTCGAATGCTGGGAGTAAAGGCTTGTTCCACCACCACCCGGCTAGTGATACACTTATACAATGAAGTTATTACTCAGCCGGTTTAAGAAAAATGGAATTCACAGGTAAATAGATAGAACTGGGCGGGGGGTGGGGGAGAATTACCCTGAGTGAGTTAACCTAGACACAGAAAGGCAAATATGATCAGGGTCTTGCTCAGTCATCATCAGAGAAGCTTCCTCCTGGAGCAGATGAGGACAGGCACAGAGACTCATGCTAGACATTATGCAGAGAGCGAGAGACCTTGAAACACTCAGCCCTGAATGTGTGTGTGTGTGTGTTTTGTAGGTACACGTGTGTGGTGTTTCTGTGGAGGCTAGAGGAAGATATCAGGTATTGTGCCTGACTCCATCTAGACAGGGTTTTTAACTAACCCCAGAGCTAGGCTAGTGGCCCCCCGAGCTCCGGGAAGCTGTCTCCACAGCCCCGATTATTTCTAAGGATGTTCTGCAGTGTGCACAGAGAGACGAGAAATAAACCATCCTTCCGCAGCCAGGACAGCTGCTGTCACTGTCTTTTAGGACGTTTTCATCTTAGCTGTTATAATTTCAGGCCAATCCCCGCATTGCTTTATCCACAGTTCTAATCTGTATCATGTGTGTACGTAGTATGTGTATAGGTGTATGTATGTACATGTGTTTATGTGTAGATATGTCAGCCTTGTGTGTTGGTACTCCCAACCCGTTTCTTAAGGCAGGGTAACTCCCTGAGACTTGAGACTTTATGGCAGGGCAGCTGGGCCCGCAAGCCCACGCCACCATGCCCAGCTTCTTATACGTATGCTGGAAGTGAAACTCAGACTCATGTGATGGGAGGTGTCATTCTGTAAATATGTTTCTCTCATTGGTTAATGAATAAAACTCTTCTGGCAAATAGGAAGGCAAGATAGGTGGGACTTGGAGACAAGGAGGATTCTGGGAGATATAGTAGAGGAAGAGTCAAAATGTAGGGACTTGAGAGAAGAGGTCAGGACCCTCTCTCCATAAGATGAGACCACGTGGAAACACTTAGATTAATAGAATGGGTTGATATTTAAAACAGAGCTAGCCAATAAGAAACCCTAGTAACAGGCCAACAGCTTTATATCTAATACAGCGTCTCTGTGTGTTATTTGGGGCTGACGCAGCTGTGGGATCAGGCTGGCGGGAAAACTGCTCGTAACACTCATGCTTACATGCTAAGTGCTTACCAAGCCATCCTTGTCCCCAAGAACTTTTTAACATCGCTATTCAATCAGCATCATAATGTAAGCAGCACCCTCCATGGCCTCTGCATCAGCTCCTGCCTCCAGGCTCCTGATCTGCTTGAGTTCCTGTCCTGACTCCTTCAGTGATGGACAGTGATGCAGAAGTGTGAGCCACACAAACCCCTCCTCCCCAACCTGCGTTTGTCCTGGTGTGTCATTGCTGCGATAGTGACCCTGACTGAGACACCATGACATGACATTGTGAGTCAGGGGACTGGGAACAATGCTGCAGAATTCCTCCTCTGCTGGCCATGTGCACCTACCACACACACACACACACACACACACCACACACGTGCACCTACAACACACACACACCACACACACGTGCACCTACCACACACACACCACACACACACGTGCACCTACCACACACACACCACACACGTGCACCTACCACACACACACCACACACGTGCACCTACCACACACACACCACACACGTGCACCTACTACATACAACACACATATGCACATAAAAGAAGACATAAAAAAGTTAAAATTAGCTAATACCAAATTTCTCCTAGTTAAATGTTTTGATTTGAAAGGCAAAGCAAAGGTTCTGTCAGAGAATGAGATTAACATAACTAAAATTCCAGTTACCTATGAAAAGGAGGAAAATACCAGGAAAAGACAGACAGACAGACAGACAGACAGAGAGACAGACCTCTGATATATAAAAACAGTCATGACTACACTCTAAGCGAGAATGACAGCAAAGTCAGTCGACTCACACTCTACATGGAAAGCTAATACAGGCTGTGTTTCTCATCCTAAAAGTGCAGCCTGAAAGATTCAAAATGTTAAAATTTCCTGAACACTAGCATGACATCACAAGTGGAAAATTCCACATCTGACAGAAATGCTAAAAATACTGGATAAGGTCACCCTCAGGCAACACAAGGCATACATGAAACATAAATATATTTTGTCTTTAGACTGGGTCTCATTACCAAGGTATCTGAATACACACACACAGACACTCACACCACACACACTCACACACACACATTCACACCACACACTCACACACACCACACACACTCACACACACACAGAGACACTCACACCACACACTCACATACACACACTCACACCACACACACACTCTCACACACACACACAGAGACACTCACACCACACACACACCACACACACACTCACACCACACACACTCACACCACACACACTCACACACACACAGAGACACTCACACCACACACTCACATACACACACTCACACCACACTCACACACACACTCTCACACACACACACAGAGACACTCACACCACACACACTCACACACACATTCACACCACACACTCACACACACCACACACACTCACACACAGAGACACTCACATACACACACACACTCACACACACACTCACACCACACACACTCACACCACACACACTCACACACATACATTCACACCACACACTCAGAGACACTCACATACACACACACTCACACCACACACACTCACACCACACACACTCACACACATACATTCACACACATACTCACACACAGATACTCACACCACACACACTCACACACATACATTCACACCACACACACACCACACACACACTCACACACAGATACTCACACCACACACACTCACTCACACACTCACACACACACACTCACACACACACACTCACACACACATACATTCACACACACACTCACACTTGCACACTTGGCTGTAAACATTTCACACGAGCACTATTCACCCTGAACACAGTTACAGATTTCTCAGGCCACAGCCAGTACCTAGAACAGAGGCTACAAAAGACAGAGGTCTCAAGGAAAGGCAGCTGATGGGATGGGAAGAGAGAAAATCTATGGAACTCATCACTGACGATCACATCAGTGTGGAGAACAGGGACCAGTATGTCAAGTGAAGAAGGCATACACTTTGGAGTCAAAAACAGACAGACGACACCGCACAGCCACTCACAGCTCTAGGAACCTCACCAAGTGACCTTCTGTCTCAGGAAAATGAAAGGTAGCCACGTTGGCTGCCTGGCTTCCACTGGAAAGGACAATTTTCACATACCCGGAAGGAGATTCTATAATCCCAGCCAACAATCTGCCTGCAACCGTGTGCGCGACCCTGACCCAGAGCGACCCAGCCACACTGCTTTCCCATCCCAGACCTGCATCTCCAGAAGCCCGTGAGGTGGTGAACTTTTGCCTGAGGTTGCTAGGTTTTGATATAATCTGTTACACAGCAACCCCCAAAATAATACGTTATATGTAATAATTTGTCTATTAATTGATAGGCTGAAAGTTTTCTAAATATAGTCATTAAGACTCTGCCATATAGACTAGATTATAGAGACTAGCATGCTCATCACGTATAGCCGCTTACACAGCACATCAGCATACTCTAGATTGAACTTCTGGAACACAGCCGTCGACGGATGGAAAAGAGGCACAGAGATAGGAATCTGAAGTTCAGCACTTGGTCCCATGCTGAGACCATACACACGGATTTATACCACGATGTCTACCCATCCACGGTGCCTCAACACCAACAAAAGTCCCTTCAATCCTACCTGAATGAGGCACTTGCTCACATCGCTAGCGCAGAGGGCTTTGTTACAGGTCTGTGACGCAGGGACACAGGACAGGAACACCAGGGAGGCTAGGGTTAGCACAACATAGTGTGACTTCATGGTTCTCCAAAGGAACCCCTCGGTAACCGCCAGGAAGCTAAAAACAAAGCCAAACACACAAGACTTTAGTTCAAAGGCAAATGGCAGGTCACAAAAGCAAACAAGCAGAAAACCCATAAGCCAAGAATTAGTTGCTGTGTCAAAATCCTTGAGGAGTCATCTGAAGGTCATTCTCAAAGATTAACCATTAAAAAAATCTGGGCCTGGGCGGCCATCTTTAAAGAAATCTAGAATACTTCTCAGACACGGTAAGGATGGAAATAATGGTGAACATGGCTAAAGCCCCAGCAATTTGAAAGCATACTGTTATTATTCAAATTTCAACTTCAGATTTCATTCAAATTCAATTTCAGTATTTATACCCCTAAAAGAACTGCCAGGCACATGCCTTTAAATCCTAGCCCTTGGGAGGCAGAAACAGGTAGATCTCTGTACGTTCAAGGTCAGCCAGAGCTACCTAGAGAGACAATGTCTCAAAAAAAAATTACAGATATATAACATAATAAAAATTATATGCATATATTTTTGTTTTAAGGGGATTCCTTTTTACTATTAATGTGCATGCCTGTGCATGTATGCACACTTTCTGTCTGGTGCTGCTGGGGGCCACAAGAGGGCGCTGTATTCCGGAGCTGGCTGCTGTGGCCTCCCAGGTGTAGGTGCTGGGAACTCAGGGCTGGAGATGGCTCAGTGGTTAACAGTATGCACCGCTATTTCAGAAGACGAGTTTACTTCCCAGAACCCACCTGGGGCAGCTCACAACCACCTGTAACTTTAGCTTCAGGAGAGGGAGCTGAAGCCTCTGACTTCTTGGGACAGTTGCACGAGCGCACGCACACACTTAAAGGTAACAGAAATACATCTTTAAAAACATTACTACTGTATGATTTTAACACACCTTCTAAATTCTCTGGGTGTGTGTACACATGTGCCACTGAAGATGTGACCAAGAGCCTCACATGTGTGAGGCAAGCTTTCTACCACACACTATACCTTCAGCTCCAATTTTTAAAAATGTTAGCATCAAAACAAAGCTGTACATGAAAATTACCCTAATGGGGGCTGGAGAGAGGGCTCAGAGATTAAGAGCACTGGCTACTCTTCCAGAGATCCTGAGTTCAATTCCCAGCAACCACACAGTGGCTCACAACCATCTGTAATGAGATTCGGTACCTGCTGCTGGCCTGCAGACAGAATACTGTACAATAATAAATCCAAAAAGAAAATGACCCTAATGATGATCTCATTTTGTCAGTAAATACTTCAGAGGCAGAGAGAGAGAGAGAGAGAGAGAGAGAGAGAGAGAGAGAGAGAGAGAGGAATCCACAACCATTCAAATAAATGTATCAATAACAAATGCCAGCAAATTATTAATTGCATTAAGAATTGCGGGTGAATGTGAACATATTCTTTTCTTTGTTAGTACCGTTATGAAGGTATTATAGTACAAAAAGAAAATTAAGGGAGGGGGCACCAACACAAATTTCCACAGGGGTTGTGATTTGGGGCCGCCAACATGGCTAGATGATGGGGAGAAGCACTTGGCCGGCCAATGTTCTATGCCTCAAACTCATAAAAGTTGTCCCCTGACGTACACGCATGGCACAGGTGCACTCACACGCGCACACTAATAATAATAATAAAGTAAAAGCTTAAAAGATACAAACTCCCAATAAAATCAATTAAAATGGGTATTAGCTGGGCCTGGTGAGGCATGCCCGCAACCCCAGCGTTTGGCAAACCAGGCAGAATGATAATGAACTGCAGGCCAGCTTTGCTTCCAAAATAAATAAATTAAAAATAAAAATAAACACAGGGGGCTAGAGGGAGAGGAGAGGACTTGGTGTTTTTAGGAACGCTTGCTGCTCTTGCCGAAGATCCGAGTTCAGGTCCCAGCACCCACACCTGGCAGGCAGCTCGGGGAGCCCCAACGCTGTCTTCTGGCCCCTGGCGGCGGCAGCAGAACGGAAGTGTGCACGCACACCGAGGCGTGCACAGACGCTTTGCTTTTAAGCAACTCAGATAAATCTCCTCCAAACAGTAAAATGCAATTCTGACGCGGGGAGGGTTAGGCGGGCGGTGGACCTTGCAGGTCCGGCAGGACTCAGGTCCGAAGCACAAAGTCCCGGCGCTCCAGACCGCGGGCACCAAACATTCCGCAGGGGACCGTTAGTAATCCAAAGCCCTGGCGCAGCCAGGTGACCGCGGGGCGGAGGGGCGGGCGGGCGCCCAGCTCCTACAGGCAGCCAGCCCCGCGGCCCTTTGTCCCCGCCGCCCGCTCGGGCCTCCCGGCACCCGCTGCGCGGCCGAGCGCCGCGGCCTGGCCTCCGAGCCCCGCCCGCCCGCCCGCGCGCGCGCTCACCGTGGCCACGGCCTCCTCCTCCGGCGGCCGAGCTTCCTCCCAGCTCCCGCGAGCCCCGGCGCCGCCAACACACAGGCCCCACCGCTCCCGGGTCCCCCGCCCGCCCGCAGGCCCCGCCCAGGCCCCGCCCCGCCGCGGCAGTCCCCGCCGCGGCCCCGCCCCCGGCCCCGCCCCCGGCCCGGGCAGGCCCCGCCCCCAGGTGTGTGCGGCGCTGGCCCTGGCGCGCAGCCTGCGCCCCGCCCGCGAGCCTTCTGGTCCGCTGCCACCTGTGGGACGCTCGCCTCTGGCTCCCGCACCAGTGCGTGCGTTCCAGCTGCCCCTTCCAAGACTGCGCCGCGTCCTCCCCCGCCCCTCCCAGGGGTGTGAGGACCGAGGCACCCCGCAGATGAGCGGACGTCCGGGGCGAGGTTCATTGCCAACACGCGCTTACCTGGGGACTGGTGGAGTAGGATCGGGCTCATACTAAAGTAATTAATTCATGAAGAATTTCCGAACCCTGGAAGTGCCTGGCGCTGCCCTTAGGTCAAAATGGCGAGAAGGCAGCGATGAATCCTGGTAGGGGAAGGTCGCTAGGTCTGGGAGACCAACCGAAAGGCTCAGATGGAAAGGGAGGACCCAGCAATGCTAACTTGACCAGTCATCTTTCCGTCTTGTCTTTTAGGAAGATGCACATAAATAAAGGCAACCTACGGTTTCATGTAGGTCGTTTTGTTTTGTTTTTGTTTTGTTCTGCTGCCCAGGAAATCGTTTTTCCAGCAATATCGCAGAGCCGTTGACTTGGAGCCCACATGGCCGTCTCACTTTGGAAACATCGGCCTAGTGACAAACCCCTAACCTAGGAAGTGTCTTAGATGCTTTTTTACCGGAGAGCGGCAGAATGGAAACAGGGCATTGACTGAGAATAGAAATAAATGGGTTATTAGCTAATGGATCTTATTGTTGATATTTCATTTTGTAAAGTAAGTATAGCCTTTTTTTTTTTTTTTTTTTTTTTTTTAGTCGCGGGTTGAGGAGAGGGCTAGGTTGTTAAAGTGCGTGCCACACAAGCTTAAGGTCCCGGTTCAGATCCACAGTGTCCTTGTAAAAGCCAGGCCCAGCAGCTGATGTCTGAATTCCAGCCCTGGGAGGAGGGGAGATGGGAGGAGCTCACTGGAGCTCCAGAAGCAGTGAGAGACCCTGTCCAAGGTGGCCCAGCCAGTCCCAAGTTCGATCCTCAAGATCCACAAGGTGGAAGCGAGAACGGATTAGCGCGAGTCAGCCTCTGGTCTCCACACAGGCAGCATGCGCGTAAGCACACGCGTGCACGAATGCATGCACACAGCACACACATGTGCTCGATTGCACATACACACATGGATGCACGTGTATCTGCATGCACACACTATTTAAAAAACAGCGATAGGAGAGCATCTCATCTATCAGTGGCTCACATGTGCACACACTAGCAGGCAGGAATACACCCCACACATTAAACAGAGCAGCCCTGAAAACCATCCTAAGACGACGAGGGTCTACACAAATTTAATTCTCAGCCTTGTTTGAGGGTTACAGAAATTATGATACACTAGGTCAGTGTTTGGGTACTGGTACCGTAAATCAGCCAGTCTTAAACCTGTTGGTCACATAATTTCACAGCGTTGAAAAACATGGGTGTTCCAAAGACGTATTGTGCCTATTAATTTGAAATTATTATTACTGTTATTATTATTATTATTAGGGGTTCTCTGTGTAGCATTGGCTGTCCTGGAACCCACTCTGTAGACCAGGCAGACCTCGAACTCATGGAGATCCTCCTGCCTCTATCTCTCAAGCACTGGGATCAAATGTGCCACCACCACCACCCACCCAATTCCTTTTGTTTGATTGTTTTGTTTTTTGAGACAGGGTTTCTCTGTATGGCTTTGGAGCCTGTCCTGGAACTCACTCTATAGCCCAGGCTGGCCTCGAACTCACAGAGATCCACCTGCCTGTGCCTCCCAAGTGCTGGGATTAAAGGCGTGCGCCACCAATGCCCATCGGCATTCCTTTTTATAATGGTGAAATTTTGAGAAATTTCTCCAGTGATATGACAGTCTCTTCAACGCGAACTGAGAGAGATCTAAGACTCTTGTAAAATATGTCTCTGAGTGAGTTTCCTTCTTCGAACTGGTCAGCCACTTAATCTACTGATTTGACTACATATAAGATGTGTAGAACTGTGAAAGGTAAGACCTATCTGGGGCGGGTGAGTTGTTGACGGTTTTGCTTAGTTGTTGTTGTAAGACATCTCATTAAGTAGCTCTGGCTGTTCTAGATCTTGCTGTGTAGACCAGGCCTACCATTGCCTCCCAAGTTCTGGTGCCTCTGGTCAGGACCCAGAGATGGACCTGGGTCATAGACCTCTTTGTTTCTCTTCTTAACATGGTCATGTTGGACTCCTCTCTTTTCTTTGCTTTTCGGGATTTTCTGTCTCTTTGATTGGTATCTGGAGGAGGGGTGGTCAAGACTAGCAGCTTGCTAGGGCTGCCATAGTTCAGGATTGACTCTGACAATTCTGGTAACTCACCAGGGGGAGGAGGGAGATACAGTGAACGATTTAACAGAAATATGGATTCCACAGATGGAGGTAGGATCTTTTACGTGCCGATCACTGAGTTAGTCATTGGCTATCCATAAGCACATGAATCT